CCCCCGGCCCTATCCCAGCGCGGTGCCCTGCAGGATCCCAGCGGCGGCCTCCCTGCCCTAGCCCCCGGCGAACAAAGCAGATACGCGGCCCAGGAGGGCAGCGCCGACCCCCATGCCTCGCAGAGCTGTACCCCAAACTGCGGCCCAGGCACACCCCATGCCCAGACCCCCCGGACCCCGGCTCTGCTGGTTTGGGGTTCAGCACGAAACTCTGGGCCAACCACCCAGGAGCGCGCCAGGCGGCTGCCGCGACTGAAAGCGCAGAGGACAAGGGGGCGGGGACGCGATGTGTGCGCCCCCCGCCTAAAGCGGGGGCCGTTCCCGGGAGGTGCCCCCGGCCTGGCTCCCCCGGCGGCAGGCCAGGCTTCCTCCGGCTCCGGCCGGGCTCAACTCAGAGCTACCGGTGGGTCTCATGCGGCCCCCGGGAGCGGCCGATGAGTGGGCCGGGGCGGGGGGAGGAAGGGGCTGCGGCTGGCTGCGGGGGAAGGCGCAGCTCGGGGACTCCTGGGGACTTGGGGCCGCACTCACCTCCCGGGCCGGCGCCCTCCGGGGGCTCCATGCGGCCGGCGGGGTCTGGGAGGGGCGCGGGCGGCGGCGGCGTCACCCAGCCCGGGCGCCCCTGCAGCTGCGGCGGCGACTCGGCCCCACCTCGCGGCGCAGCGCATCGGGGCAGCAGCCGGGGGGCCGCGGCGGCAGGGAGGAGCCCGCGGGGCGGGGCGCGCAGCTGCTCCGGGGCCCGGGTTCCCCCTAGCATCCTCCCCCCGGAGCCCCGCAGCACAGGTGCGGCCCCGCCCCGCCCCGCGCGCGCCCCCTGCCGGCCCAGGCTCCGAGGCCCACCTCTCCCACCGACCTCCGGGGCTGCGGACCCACCCGCAACCGGCGGCGGCCTCCCATCCCCGGCCCGGCCCTTGCGCCCTCTGCGCCCGCCGCCCCCAGCGCGCTCACTTCTCCTGCAGCCGTGCCAACTTTCGTCCATTTGTTCACCCCCAGATATTTATGGGGTGTCAGTTACGTGCCGGCGCCTCGCGGGCCAATGGAGAGGAGGCACAGAGGAGAAGCAAAGGCGGCGCCCAAACCCTTGGCCCCAAAGCAAAGAATTGCAGATTGTGATGAATACTGTGAAGAACACTGCGGGTGGGGCTGGGCGAGAGTTTAATGGCGAGGCCGGATGGGGGCGTGGGTGGGAGATGGGAGGTAGGGAGATGGGAGCGGGCAGAGAGGGCGCCCCGGGAGGGAAGGCAGGGTCTGGGCGCGCTGAGAACGACATGCAAGCCCCTGGAACGCGACCCTGTGCCAAGCTCTTTGTGCACAATATCTCAGTCATCCCCCCAGAGATCCTAAGAAGACGGTGTCCTGGTTTTCCAGGTGAAGAAACTGAGTACAGAGAGGGTAGGTAAGCTGACAAAGGTTGCAAGCACAGCCTTGGGGCTGTGCCAAAGGGTCTGAATCCAAGCCCAAAGGCTGCACTTTTATAAAAAACAAACCAAACCAAAGAAGAGCATCAGGGAGAAAGAGTTTGTTCCCGGCTGGGAGTGGAAAAGGCCCACAGAGGAGGGAAGTGGGTATGAATTTGGTGTTTGCAGGAAAGGCACCATCTCAAAGGCAGGTGGTCCACATAGCTTCAGCCAACCAAGGCACTCACTGCCCAGTCCAGCTCCAGTCATACAGAACCCACAGCCTTCGAGATTGTCAGTCAGCGAGGCTGGCTAATAGTTCCCATTTTTCTTTAGTTTACAAAACAAATGAAAACAAAAACTTCAGTCTGCAACCTTCTAAAATGATTTCATGACCCACCAGAACTAGCCTTTGTTGTGAGCCACGGCCTCCTTGCAACCCCAAAAGGGGGAGAGAATGGTCTCTCAGGGAAGAAACTGAATTATAGGGTGGGTGGTGGGGACATAAGCAAGCCAGTCAGTGCCCTAGGAAGCTGGGGCAGTGGGTGGGCACTGGCTGTTCAGAGTCAGCTGGGGTGGCAGATTGTAGTTCTCAAAATGGTGAGATCAGTATTTCTGATTCCACTTCCAGAACCTTCCACTGCCATCAAGACACTCCCCCATTGATGCTCCTTCTGTTGAACCTGGGTGAGGCTTGTGATGGCTCTGGCCAATAGAGCGTGGCAGAAATGATGCCATGTGACTTCTGAAGTTGGGTCATAAGGGGGTTCAGCTCAGGAGGCCCCCCCTGGAACCTGGCCACCTTGTGTGAGGAAGCCCAGGCCACTTGAGACGCCACCTGTGTGTGTTCTGGCTGCCAATAGCCATTAGGCCAGACTCAAGTCTCTCGGCCAATGGGCAGACATGAGACTCCACCTTTGAGCCACCCCTCTGGGAGTGGTCTGTGGAGCTGAGGTGTCCTGTCCCACAGAGTCCTGGCTGAGTTGTAAATTCATGAGCAAGAGAGATATTGCCACTGTTAAACCACTACTTTTTGGGGGTGACCTGTTATGCAGTCATAGTAACTGTAAGAGCAATTGTTTAATAATTATCCCCATTTGAGAGATGAATAGGTGGATACAGAGGGGGTCTCGTCAAAGGCATCCCAGCTAGTGAACAGCAAGTGATCTGATTCCAGAGGCCAGTGTTTATTTATTTTTAACTTTTCATTAAGAACATTTTCAAATAAAAGGAGAGAGAATAGCGTGATGAACCTGCATGTACCCATTATCCCATCACCGAGATTCAACGGTTAGCAACTCATGGCTGATCTTGTTTCCTCCCTATTATCAATCACCTCTCTCCACTGCTGGATTGTTTTTGTTTTGTTTTGAGTAGGCTCCATGCCCAGAGTGGAGTCTAACAGGGGGCTTGAACTCATGACCCTGAGATCAAGACTTGAGCTGAGATCGAGTTGGACATCTAACCAACTGAGCCATCCAGGCACCCCTGCTAGATTGTTTTGAAACAAATCCTACACACTATATAATTTCATTTGTAAATACTTCACTATCGATCTCTAAAAGAGAGCCCAAAAATAAATAAAAAAGAGAGTTCAGTCTTCTTAAGGACTCTATTATCCCAACATCCAGGCATCTTTCGAGTTGATGTAGTGGCCCGGGGCAGTTTACTTGACCACCGAGGAAGCAGGCATTAGGAAGAGCCAGACATGAGAGACAACATCAGTGGGTTTGTATGTATCAACATTTACTCTGTGATTTTGCTGGAAACTCAGATGCCATTTATCTGGGCTTCAGAGCTGCACAGCTTGATGCTGCATAAAAGTATCCCGAGCCACACATGTGAAGAAAAAGCTCTTTTCTAAGAATCTGAACTCAAATACAATATGAAAAACACAGGTCACCATGGGCCCTGTCAGGGCTCCCTTGAACTATTCATCTCTGCAATCCATACCGATAAACTAGGCGACTCTGTTGGTTTTGCCAAATGAATTCCCTGTCTGGTTATCCTTAGCTAACCCTCTTATTCTTGCCGTTTTCGCTGAAAGAAATTAATGTTAATGCATTTATTTAATTCAGAGATCCCAGACTTCTAAAGCAAAAAAGCCAATCAGCATGAGGCACCTAGCATATTGGGCAGTGTTAAATAACAATAATTACCCCTCTGTGTTACCCAGCTGCACTGTCTCGCCTGCCAACCCTCCTCTGGGAGGCCCTGGCATCGCAGGAGGAGGCGCCTATCAGGCCAGTGGTGTCTGGGTCGGAGGTGCAGGCTCTTGGCTGTCCAGGCACAGTGACATGACTGGACTTCACAAAGGCCTCCGGGCTGGCTATAAGTAAGTCATGGCTCTGTGCAAGCCCCACTCCAAAGCAGCCGGGGCTTGGGTGGGCAACCAGAAGCCCCTTAGGGTCATCACTGTGGCTCTCAGATCCCTGCCTCTGTGTGTGCTGGGGCCTGAGCAAGCCCAAGGAGCGAGGCATCTCCCTCCTTGGGTGGGACTGGCCGATCCAAGCTCACCTAAGCCCTTCTTCGGCACTCACACTCTGTCCTCAGCGCAACTCTCCAGGGGGGAGAAGATTCTGGAATCTTCTCCATCCCCAAGCAGATGGGAAAACATGACCCGCTGCAAAACCACTAGTTAGGAAGATGCCAATGTCGAGGGTGTAGAAAAAAGAGGACAAATACTGTGTAAAGATGGGTACTCTCAGCTTTCTGGGTGACATAGAGTGAGGCACATAGGTAATAGGGTAAAATTCACTTTCGAAATCATATAATGACTAGCGGTTTTCAGAGCAAAAGGTTAGGAAGGGAACCTCAAAACTCTCTTTTTTTCTGCAGTGCCTGTCTGGAAACTTCTGGCGGACGCTTCTCGTTTGTCCTCAACGTCCTCGTCCGTAAGGACAGGGGTCACAGAGGAGGCCTCCTCAGGAAGAGCAGTCTAAGTTTGAGAAGGAGACACTTGCGGATTTCAGAACTTCAGAGCCAGCTGGAAAATATTTTTCTCTCGTATTTTCGTTTTGTTCTGACGGTTTGCAGAAACCCAGCTACCTTCCATCCTCACTCGGACAGCAGGTGGGAGGAATCTTCAAAGGCGGGCAGGGTGGGGTGTGGCCCGCGGGCATAATCTCAGCCCAGACTTGAATCTCGTTTGGATACCTTCTGGGAGCCTTGGGTGGCCGATCCTTCTTTGCTCCCTGTCTCCGTCCTTCACCGAAAGCATCTTTACCGAGCACCTGCTATGTACTGTTGTAGGCGCTGGACGTAAGAGAAAACAGTTCCTCCCCCCTTCATGGAGCTTAAGTTCTAGTCAGGGACACACGCAAAATCCCGCAACGAAATGCATTTAGGAATTTCGGGGAGATGAAGCGCGTGGTTGATACCGGGCTGCCGGAAAAATCCACCCGACTCCGCAACCCCGGGTTCCGCCCAGTGCGCGTTGCTAGGAGCTCGTCTCCGCTGTTGCGAGGGGCTGTCGCGGCCGGCGGAGTCTCGCGAGGATCTCCGAGACTTCGCGCGGGACCGCCCATCGGTTGCCGGGAGACGGCGCAGCCTCGGCGGGGCGGGAGCCATCTGTCTGCAGGCCGCCGCCGGTCTCGACCCCCAGAGCCATGGTGAGGAGGCGCGGGGGCCCGGCTGGGTTCCGTGCGGGGGCCTGGGGCTCCTTGGTTAGCCGGCCCTGCGCGCAGAGAGACGACTGGACGGAGAGGCCTGGGTCCCCGGGACCTGTGCACGCTGAGACCCCAGAATGGGGAGGCCTGGAGCTCTGGGTTCCTGGCATTGAGGCCTGGGTGCTCTCGTGGCGTCTTCGTGGGGAGAGCACTGGGTGCTACGGATCCCGCATGCACTTTGGAGCTGAGAGATCTGGGCTTTCCAGGATCCGGTGCTCACAAGGGTGTGCATAAAACGCCCCCCCCCCAAAAAAAATTCCAGGATCTGGTGTGCACGCTTTCCAGAAGACAGAACTGGGTCAGAAGGATTTCCTATCTGGAAGGAAGTCTCAGTCCTCCAGATCCTTGGGACCCAGGGTTAGGGGCCTGGAGCACAGTCGGGGGCAGGCGATACCCTAGGACCTCCAGTGTCTGGGATGAAGAGCCTGGGGCGTACCAGAGTGGCTAGAGGTCCGTCTACCCCGCGGCGTCCTGGACAGAGCCTCAGGGTACAGGAGCTGCTCTTTCGTTGGAGAGCCTTGGAGGAGTCAGGCCTGTATCGAGATGAGCAGGGTGGGAGCTCTCTGCCTCGCCAGTTCTTCCTCCCTCTCTCACTGTCAGGGTCCTCAGCTGCCCCACCGCTCTGATAGAGGAGTTTTCAGTAGCTCATTTTCCAGGCAGATGCAGCAGGGGGGCTATGAGGTAGTGGGGAGGACACCTCTCCAGGAGCTATGCCGAACCCCTGCATTTGGCTGTGAGTTGCCAAGTAGTTATGAACCGGTGGGACCTTCTCATGGGGCGGACTTCTTGGAGTAGAGGGATTAGAAAGGCGGCAGTACATTAGGAGTGACGATTTCAGTGCGTGGGTCTTTTAGAATCAACTGGAAAAGGCCACCAAAATACTTAGGTTTATCACTAGCTTGTCCGAATATGGGTGATTTTCCTATTTTCTTTTTGCTTTTCTATGTTTTCTAAGATATCCATGTAAAAATTTTTTTGTAATCATAAAAATGTTAACAGACACGTAGACATACACATACACATATAGAAACATTAATAGAGACATTTAGACGCATACACAGAAACGTTACAGAAACGTGGAGATGCATGCACACACAGAAGCATGGGTCACAGAGTTGGGAGAAGTGAAGGCAGAAGGTAGGGATTTGGAAATTCAGTACCTGCTTGAGTGGCCCTTGGGAAGTGAGTGGGGGTGGGAGGTTCTTTCATCTTGTCAAAGTTGTTAGAAGCAGGTGTGACACTAGGAGCCGGTCCTGTGTGGTGAACCGTTTACAGAGCACCCATGGTGAGTGCTGTCTGCTTCAGCTCTTGACCAGAGTTCTTGGAAGGAGTTTTATATTTGGAAGAAAGGAAGCCTCATGTTACCCTCGTGATCATTGCTGTAGGTCCATTTCTCCTTACACATACCCAATAGTTTCTTGCAGGTTTTCCTGTGGTGGTTATCAAGCATTATCGTGAACACGGTAACATTTGACAGTGTGCTGTTGGGGTTCTTCCTGGCCAAGTAAATTTTCCATTCATATCCAGGAGGTCTCTGCCACATACCAAGGAGTGGATTTGGAACCAGTTCCCCTCCTTTCCTTTCTGAGGGAGAAAATGTTCTCTTCTGAAGAGGAAGATTTGCCCTTGTTTTTCCTTGTGGGTGGTTATGGGTGGGAAGCCTTAGGGCACAGTGATGTGCTCCAGGTGGGGCATGTCACAGTGAGCCATAGGAGACAGGAACCAGAGCAGGTCCCCCTGTCCCAGTGTGCCCCCGGGGTTAATCAGAGCCAGCCAGATGGTGATGTCTTTAGACAGAGCCCTCCTTCCTTACCCAATCATCTCTTTAATCAAAGGCGCCCAAGAAGAAAGGGAAGAAAGGAAAAACCAAAGGTACCCCGATTGTTGATGGGCTTGCTCCAGAGGACATGAGCAAGGAGCAGGTGAGCAAGGCCTTGGCCTAGTCCTGGGTTGGGTTGGGACTGGTGGGTATTGTTCCAAGTTGTCTCTGGGTGTTTGCCTTTATGAACCTCTTTCGCCGCCCACTATCCTCATCCATCTCCCCTCAGTCTGCTCCTGCACTTCTGTCCAAACCAGGATATGCCTTCTTCCATTTCCATAATTCTCATCAGCTCCAAAGCTGTCAAATGCAGTACATAGTAAGAAAAAAAAAGCAATATAGCTACATTGAAAAATTTTTAATAGGGTGATGGGAATTTGGAAGGAAATGATTTTTCTGATATAAAAACTATTTTTAATTTTTTTTTTTTAAGATTTTATTTATTTATTTGACAGAGAGAGAGAGACAGGCGAGAGGAAACACAGGCAGGGGGAGCGGGAGAGGGAGAAGCGGGCTTCCTGCAGAGCAAGGAGCCCGATGCGGGGCTCGATCCCAGGACCCTGGGACCATGACCTGAGCTGAAGGCAGCCGCTTAACCGACTGAGCCACCCAGGCGTCCCTATTTTTAATTTTCTGTGTATCCTTTCTTTTTCTTTTTCTTTTTTTTAAAGATTTTATTTATTTATTAGAGAGAGAGAGAGAGAGCGCGCAAGCAGGGGGAGCAGCAGAGGGAGAGGGAGAAGTAGGCTCCCCGCTGAGCAAGGAGCCCGACGACGCGGGCCTCAGTCCCAGGACCCTGGGATCATGACCTGAGCTGAAGGCAGATGCTTAACGACTGAGCCACCCAGGCGTCCCTATTTTTAATTTTCTGTGTATCCTTTCTTTTTCTTTTTCTTTTTTTTAAAGATTTTATTTATTTATTAGAGAGAGAGAGAGAGAGCGAGATCACGAGGGGGGAGCGGGAGAGGGAGAAGCTGAGCAGGGAGCCCAATGCGGGACTTGATCCCGGGACTCCAGGATCATGACCTGAGCCGAAGGCAGTCGCTCAACCAGCTGAGCCACCCAGGCGCCCATCTGTGTATCCTTTCAATTTTACCCTTTTATGTACCTGATGTTCGCTGAGCTGTTATCACAATATATGCATATATAGTATTCTTATTTATTTGCCATTAAACAGTAGGAATTATTTTTTTAAAAAGGTTTTATTTAGGGCGCCTGGGTGGCTCAGTTGGTTAAGCGACTGCCTTCGGCTCAGGTCATGATCCTGGAGTCCCGGGATCGAGTTTCCCTCTCGTGCTATCTCTCATTCTCTCTCTCTCAAATAAATAAAAAAATCTTTAAAAAAAAAATAAAAAAAAAAAGGTTTTATTTATTTATTTGAGAGAAGGAAAGAGAGAGGGAGAGCATAAACGAGGGGAGGGGTAGTGGGAGAAACAGACTTCCCGCTGAGCAAGGAGCACAACACGGGGCTCAAGCCCAGGACCCCGGGGCGCCTGGGTGGCTCAGTCGATAGGCGTCTGCCTTCGGTTCAGGTCATGGTCCCGGGGTCCTGGGTTCGAGCCCCCCATCGGGCTCCCTGCTCTGCGGGAAGCCTGCTTCTCCCTCTCCCACTCCCCCTGCTTGTGTTCCCTCTCTCGCTGTGTCTCTCTCTGTCAAATAAATAAATAACATCATAAAAAAAAACACCCCAGGACCCCAAGATCATGACCTGAGCCGAAAGTAAATGCTTAACCAACTGAGCCACCTAGGAGTCCCAGTAAGATTTATTTTAAGCCACTTGTCCATTTTGATGAAGTTAAGGGCTAGAAAACATAATTATATAGTTATAATTAAAAGTCTCCTAAAAATTGCAACACATGGTGAACCATGAGAGCAGATGTAGTGCCTCCTCAAGCCTCCATGTTGATGACTGACCCGTGAGTATCTGCTAGGGACCTGTTGAGGGTTCCATGTCAGCTTGTGTGCTTGTGTTAATAAACCTAACTTTCTTTTGACAGCTTTTTAAAAAAGATTTATTTATTTATTTGAGAGAGAGAGAAGCAGATTCCCTGCTGAGGTCAGGGCCCGACGCAGGGCTCAGTCCCAGGGTTCTGAGATCATGACAGGAGCCAAAACCAGGAGTCGGAGGCTTAACTGACTGAGCCGCCAACTTTCCCCTCTTCTGGTAGTTGTAGAATAAGACACAGGTACAAAGGAGAGTCATGTGACCTGAAGTTGGTGAGCTGGGCAGAGGCACTTGCACAGTGGTGAAGAGTTGCTTCATTTGATTTGATTTTTTTTAAGGTGAAAGGTTTTTTTTTTTTTTTTTTTTTAAGATTTTATTTATCTGAGAGAAAGAGAGAGCACAGAGGGAGAGTAAGAGGGAGAAGCAGACTCCCTGCTGAGCAGAGAGTCTGACATGGGGCTTCATCCCAGGACCCCAAGATCATGCCCTGGGCTGAAGGCAGATGTTTCACCGACTGAGCCACCCAGGTGCCCCGAGTTGCTTTATTTTACATGCAGAGAAACCATGGGCGGTTTAAGCAGATGGTGATGGGTTCAGGCTTGTGTTGGAGAGATCGCTAGAGCTTCTGTGTGGAGATTGGATTGCACGTCACATTGCCCCAACACTTGAGCTGTTTCTTGTCCCTGGGGGTACAGAACTGGGACACAGCAGTGATCAGTCACCACAGGTGGACTGACACCTCAGAACCATCCGGGGTCCAGGCAGGGGTGAGGGACTGGGGACTGCAGTCCATTCTTTGGCTGGGTACTCTGTGGACATTGTGCCTCAGGGTGGTATGTTTTCTGATTTTTAAAGAGAAGTTAGAAATCTGTGTATTTATAAGAAACCTAACTATTGAGTGAATTCTGACACCATGAGCCAGTCAAAGTAGGTAGGAGCCTGGATGCCCCAATTTTTTTTTTTTTTAATTTAAATTTTACTTATTAACATACAGTGCAGTATTGGTTTCAGGAGTAGAATGCAGTGATTCATCACTTCCATACAACACCGAGTGTTCATCTTAACAGGTGCCCTCCTTAATGCCTATCACGCATCTATACCATCCCCCTCAACCTTCCCTCCATCAACCCTCAGTTTGTTCTCCATTGTTTTGTTTTTTTTTTTAAAGAGGAGATCCCCTTCCTCTATTTTTTTTTTTTTTAAGATTTTATTTATTTATTTGACACAGAGAGAGAGACACAGTGAGAGAGGGAACACAAGCAGGGGCAGAGGGAGAGGGAGAAGCAGGCTTCCTGCGGAGCAGGGAGCCCGATGCAGGACTCAGTCCCAGGACCCCGGGATCATGACCTGAGCCGAAGGCAGACGCTTAACGACTGAGCCACCCAGGCGCCCGTGTTCTCCATTATTAAGAGTCTCTTATGGTTGGGGCCCCTGGGTGGCTCAGTTGGTTAAGCATCTGCCTTCAGCTCAGGTCATGATTCTGGGGTCCTGGGATCGAGTCCCACATTGGGCTCCCTGCTCAGTGGGGAGCCTGCTTCTCCCTTTCCCTCTGCCCTTCCCCTCTGCTCATGCTCTCTTTCTCACTCATGCTCTCTCTCTCTCTCTCATGCTGTCTCCTCTCAAATAAATAAAATCTTTAAAAAAAAGAAGAGTCTCTTATGGTTTATTTCCCTCTCTCCCTTTCCCCCACCCCGCTTCCCATATGTTCATCTGTTTTCTTAAATTCCACATATGGGTGAAATCACATGGTATTTGTCTTTCTCTGACTTATTTCACTTAGTATAATAACCCTCTAGCTCCATCCATGTTGTTGCAAATGGCAAGATTTCATTCTTTTTGTTGGTTGAGTAGTATTCCATTATATATATGAACCACATCTTTTATCTTTTAGTACCATCTTCTTTTAATACCATCAGTTGATTGACATCTGGGCTCTTTCCATAGTTTGGCTATTGTGGACATTGCTGCTATAAATGTTGGGGTGCATGTACCCCTTCGAATCTGTATTTTTGTATCCTTCGGGTAAATACCTAGTAGTGCAATTGCTGGGTCATAGGGTAGCTGTATTTTTAACATCTTGAGGAGCCTCCATACTGCTTTCCAGAGTGGCTGCACCAGCTTGCATTGCCCTCAACAGTGTAGGAGGGTTCCCCTTTCTCCGCATCCTCGCCAACATCTGTTGTTTCCTGACTTGTTCATTTTTGCCATTCTGACCCATGTGAGGTGGTATCTCATTGTGGTTTTTATTTGTATTTCCCTGATGCCGAGTAATGTTGAGCATTTTCTCAAGTGTCTGTCAGCCACCTATATGTCGTCTTTGGAAAAGTGTCTATTCATGTCTCCTGCCCATTTCTTAACCGGATTATTTTTTGGGTGTTGAGTTTGATAAGCTCTTTATAGATTTTGGATACTAACCCTTTATCCGATAACATTGTTTGCCAATATCTTCTCCCATTCTGTAGGCTGCCTTTTAGTTTTGTTGATTATTTCCTTTGCTGTGCAGAAGCTTTTTATCTTGATGAAGTCCCAGTAGTTGATTTCTGCTTTTGTTTCCCTTGCCTCTGGCGACGTAGATGACTGATCTTGATGGAAATGAAATTCGCAAGGAAGCCAAGAGCCTGCCCCACTTTTCTTTTAAATTTAACCTATTTGCAGATTTGCAGTTGGCTTTGGACCAAACCTTTTTGACTGTTAGCTGGTCTTTTGGTTTTGTATTTTTTTTGCTTAACACATATCATAAAAGGTGAGTGTTTTTAAATTTAGTATTATTCTTTGAATATGTATACATGGTGCTACACCATTTTCATTTCTTTGGGCCATATAATCTTCCAGGAGATTTACTCTAATTTCTCAGTCATTTCCCTCTTTAAAATTATCTTAGATTACTACCTTAAAAGAAAATTTTTTTAAAAGACTTTATTTATTCGAGAGACAGAGATAGCAACAGAGACAAGGAGTGGGAGGGGGAGAAGCAGGCTCCCCGCCGAGCGGGGAGCCCGATGTGGGGCTTGATCCCAGGATCCTGGGATCGTGACCTGAGCCAAAGGCAGACGCTTAATGACTGAGCCACCCAGGCGCCCCTTAAGTTTTGTTTTTTTTTTTTTTTAAAGATTTTATTTATTTATGAGAGACAGAGAGAGAGAGAGAGAGAGGCAGAGGGAGAAGCAGGCTTCCCACAGAGCAGGGAGCCCGTTGTGGGACTCGATCCCAGGACCTGGGATCATGACCTGAGCCGAAGGCAGACGCTTAACCATCTGAGCCACCCAGGCGCCCAAGTTTTTTTTTTTTTTAAGATTTATTTATTTATTTGAGAGAGAGAGCATGTGCGTGAGCTGGGGGAGGGACAGAGGGAGAGAGCCTTCAAGCAGACTCCCTGCTGAGTGTGGAGTCTGGCAGCGGCTCGATCCCACCATCCCATAAGATCATGACCTGAGCCCAGATCAAGAGTTGGACTCTCAGGCCACCCACGTGTCCCTTCCTTTTAAAATTTTTTGATGTCATAATAATGGTGTGGCTAATATCTTTGAGCAGAAAGCTCTTGTGTTCTTTTGAGAAATTTCTTTAGTCTAAATTCCCAGGAATGGAATAAAGGATATAATCATTTTATGATTATTAGCCACATTCAAGATATTTCTGCTGTTTTCTGAATGTGTCCTGTCCTTAGAACCTTACTAGCATCATATTTTAATTTCTTACTTTTGGCTTTTTCTTGTTTTTAGGTGAGAGTGGCCCTCCTTTCTTCTTTGCATTGGGTGGGCCGCTGCTGGGTCCTCATGGCTCTGCCCTGCTTGGCAGGTGGAGGAGCATGTCAGCCGCATCCGCGAGGAGCTGGACCGTGAACGTGAGGAGCGCAACTACTTTCAGCTGGAGCGGGACAAGATCCACACCTTCTGGGAGATCACACGGAGGCAGCTGGAGGAGAAGAAGGCTGAGCTGCGGAACAAAGACCGGGAGATGGAGGAGGCTGAGGAGAGGCACCAGGTTGAGATCAAGGTAAGTGGGGCTGACCTGCCCATCCCTGCTGGACTTACCACATGGAACAGAGAAGCTGGACAAGGGGCGGGGGGGGGGCATTTTCTTTCCTTCCTCTGGGGGTTGCAGCGCTTTGTATCCTTTACAGTGGGAAACAAAGGTATTTTTTATAGAAGGGTATGTGTGTGCAGGGGAGCCCGCACGTGCAGGTGTGTGTGTGAGTGTGCAGGGGAGTCCGCATGTTCAGCTGTGTGTGTGTGTGTGTGTGTGCAGGGGAGCCCGCACGTGCAGGTGTGTGTGAGTGTGCAGGTGTGTGAGTGTGCAGGGGAGCCCGCACGTGCAGGTGTGTGTGTGAGTGTGCAGGGGAGCCCGCACGTGCAGGTGTGTGTGAGTGTGCAGGTGTGTGTGTAGGGGAGTCCACGTGTGCAGGTGTGAGTGTGCAGGTAGGTGTGTGCAGGTGTGTGTGAGTGCAGGGGAGCCCGCACGTGCAGGCGTGTGTGAGTGTGAGAGAGCGTGCAGGTGAGCAGGCGGTGCTCCCACTGCACACAGGTCTACAAGCAGAAGGTGAAACACCTGCTGTATGAGCATCAGAACAACTTGACGGAGGTGAAGACCGAGGGCACCGTGGTCATGAAGCTGGCGCAGAAGGAACACCGCACACAGGAGGGCGCATTGCGCAAGGACATGCGGGCGCTGAAGGTGGAGCTCAAGGAGCGGGAGCTGACCGACGAGGTGGTGGTGAAGAACCTGCGGCTGGTAGGTGTGAGGGTCACCAGTGCCTGACTGGCCGCCGGGGACCGTGAACTCCTGATTATTCAACACAACTGGGGATTCATATTTTTGTTAGAAGTTCCCTGCATTTTGGCAATTAATTAAAATATAAAAAAAAAAGCAAGCAGCCAGACAAATCCCATTTGGGAGCCAAGTACAGAACCGTGTCTTAGACTTGAACAACAAATTGACTTCCTGAGAGGAAATCCAGCTCAGGGTCCATCTCCACGTGCTGCTGACACCTGACACCTGGCTGTTCTCCCAAGGAGTCTATCGGGCGTTTAGAAACACACACAACCGGGCGCCTGGGTGGCTCAGTTGGTTAAGCGACTGCCTTCGGCTCAGGTCATGATCCTGGAGTCCCGGGATCGAGTCCCGCATCGGGCTCCCTGCTCGGCAGGGAGTTTGCTTCTCCCTCTGACCCTCTCCCCTCTCGTGCTCTCTGTCTCTCATTCTCTCTCTCTCAAATAAATAAATAAAAATCTTTAAAAAAAAAAAAAGAAATACACACAACCATTAAAGTGTCCAGCATGCTAGCCCCTGTGTGGCCATGGCAGTTCTCATGCAAGCTGGGCTCATGAGCACCTGGCTGACTTTTTGGTCCTTTCTGGGGGAGGCAGGGGGGTGTTCCAGGTAGAGGTTGAAATTCATGTGCTGAGTGCCCATAAGGTGCCAGGCCCTGTTCTGATCTCTGGGGACATACGGAGAACAGGACTGACGGAATGACTGCCCACGTGTGTTTGATGGTCCAGGAAGGAGACAGAAGACAGGATAGAGTGCTGAATACATCTAGCACACCACAGGCAGGGGTGCTGCGGGAAGGGCAAAGCAGGGAAGATGGTGCTGGGGGTTGAGGCGGGGCTTGCATTTTCCACAAGGAGTTCTGGGAATGCCTCACTGAGAAGGTGACATTTGGGCAAAGGCTAGAAGGAGGGGTTGCTGAGCCAGGCTTGGGGAGACCAGGTCTGAAGAAGGGAGAAGGGATGGGCCAGTGTGAAGGCCCAGAGGGAAAGGGGGCAAGGAGGCCGGGGAGATGGGTCAGAGCTCGTCAGCATCAAAAGCCACAGTGAGGCTTAGCCTTTGACCCGGGCTGAGCTGGGGGACCTTTGGAGGATTTGGGCAGAGGGAAGATGTGTCCAACTTTGGTTTTCTAAGGCTCTTTCCTGGCTGCGGGTTGAGAAGACTTTGTCAACACATTTGCCTCATGCCTGGAGGCAAGCCAGCCTCCACTGAATCTGGAAAAAATTCAGTAACGGTGCAGACTTTGCAGCTTTGGTCCACAAGAATTGTCTGGTCTTTGCTGACCCAAGTACAGCCTGGGCTGGTTTCCAGTGAATTTAGTGATGTGAGGCTGTCTGCTTACCTGAGGCCTGGATTTGGAATAGTTACCTGGTCAGTTCCCCTTTGTGCAAAAACATTACTCTAAAAAATAATCTGTTTTTTATTCAAAATGTTTATCTATAACTGTCAGAATAATTTTTAGTACTGCTCTAAGCCACCACTGGAGCAGGTTAGCAGGCATCTGGAGAGAGCCCGCAGCTCTGTGTAGACATGGCCAGTGGTCTCCAGCCTGTGGGCAGATTGAGCCACGGGCCAAGCACGGTTAGTGTTTGGAACATCTGTTCACTTTCTCTCGAGCTCTGAGGTGACTTTAGCTGAGGGAATTGATTTATGAAACATGGAAGTTACCAAAACCACGTTACTCTGAGCATGGTGCATGAGCTTGGCCATGAGGGGAACCCAGCACCCAGCAGAAACAGTGCAGGGTTTACTGAGCTGGATTTTCCATACAACTGAGGAGCCAGGCCAGCCCCAGGGAGAGGCTTCTGTGTGTGTCTGTCACCTGGTAACGGCCGGCTTCTCTGCTTTTGCAGAAGCACACGGAGGAGATCACCAAGATGCGGAACGACTTCGAGAGGCAGGTGCGAGGTCAGTTTCTCACGTGCACACTGTGTGAGATGGTGACAGGGCCCCTCCCGTTGGAAGGTCATTTACCTTCAGGCCTTGTTACCCCAGGGCACAGAAACCAGGTTGAAGTGGCCCAGACATGCAAGGAGAAGATGTGATAGTTTCCAAGGCTGACGGACGGCTCAGAATCCCAGAACATCTTATTTCCACGCAAGCTCAGGAGGCTGTGATTACCACCTCCTTCCCCACTCCTGGTACAAATCGGCAGATAGAAGCAGTGGCAGTTTTCCATCTCGTGGGCAGTATTCCTAGAATAGTCTTTTCCACGGCTGCTGGCCTGAGGGGCCTCCCGTTCGAGGAGTCTTTCTGGTTTACTGATGCCGCTCTGTCATCCGGCTGTCTGACCACAGGATCAGCTGACGCTCATTTGGTGGGAACCCTGATGCCGGGGTTGATTAGCCATGCCTGCTCCAGGCAAAGGAAGGCCGACTGTGGTGTATGTGTGCTGACTGTGTCAGCTGTGAGCTTGTGTGCACAGCCCTCGTGCTGGTGGGTGGTCTTGGGCCGTGTCTGTAAGTTCCATCTCTTCTTGTAGCCATTGGGCCCCCTGTTCCTCCGTGTGCTTCTGCCTTTCAGAAATTGAGGCCAAGTATGATAAAAAGATGAAGATGCTTAGGGAGGAGCTTGACCTGCGGAGAAAGACCGAGATCCACGAGGTGGAGGAGAGGAAGAACAGCCAGATCAACATGTTGATGCAGCGGCATGAGGAAGCCTTTGCGGACATCAAGAACTACTACAATGATATCACCCTCAACAACCTGGCCCTCATCAACTCCCTCAAGGTGCTGCTCAGGGGCTGGCCAGACCAGGCATCCAGACGCTAGACCCCAGCCCGTCGGGCCCCACACCCCTACTTAGACAAATACCCGTTGTCTTTGATGGAACTTCATCGGTTACATGACCTCTGCACCCTTACAGCTTGCAACAGCACATAGTACACAGTGCAGGGGGGGCTAATGGAACATGGGCACCTGCTGGGCAGAAGCTTGTGCAGAGCTGCAGTGGGAGCCGCAGGGTGGCCCCACGGGCGGCGGTGTCATCAGGCAGGGGCTGGGAGTGACTGTCCCCACCGCGGGGAGCGCCCCCTGGTCCTGAGCAAAGTGTGATCTCTTTTGGTGTGGAGGCAGCATTCCTAGAAAATTCAGAATAAGTTCAGATAGCACAGAATCCCCCTGTGTGGGTACATAAAACGGGTCTGGGACTTCAGGACTGCCCTCTGTGGCTGGGAGGGCTTGCGGCTCTCACCCCTGCAGAGCACAGCTCCCTCAGCTCTGCCCGCTGAGCCCCGTGCGCCCCTGTCCTGCTGCCCACAGGAGCAGATGGAGGACATGCGCAAGAGGGAGGAGCACCTGGAGAAGGAGATGATGGAGGTGTCGGTGCAGAACAAGCGCTTGGCAGAACCCCTCCAGAAGGCTCGCGACGACGTGAACGAGATGCAGAAGCAGCTCAGCAGCTATGAGAGGGACAAGCAGACCCTGCTTGTGGGTTTCCTGCCCCCCC